CACGGGGGGACAGGGGAGGGTGCCGCCGGCTCCTCGGCGCACCGGCCGGCGAGAGCATCGCCCCGAAGCCGGGAAATCTTGCACAGTCATGGCGGGGGGGCAGCGGCAGGTTGCAGGGGCTGCGGGGAGCTCTCCCTGCGGCCGGCACCGGCCTGCGATGGGGGGCACGGTGCTCCCCCCGGGGCTGAGGGGGCGGGAGGCTGGGACCGGGACACCCGGCGGGGGGGGATCCCGACGGCGGGGACAGAGGAAGAAGCCCCTGGGCCGGGCGGGGTCCGGCGGGTCAGGCTGAGGGAGGAGAAACTGGGGTTCAGCCGGCCGCTGCGGGGGGAATCGCTAATTAGGGCAGATTAGCCCACGGGCTTCGGCGCCTTAGTGTTGCGTAAAGGCTCTGCACATCTTAGCATAAAGCCTTTCCCGGTTTTTTGATAACTACTCCCTCAGGTTTGCACTTTCGGGAAGTCCCAGCGCAGGTTGGGCTATTACTTTTGTATTTGGTGCACGCTTTGCTTATAAAAGCTTTGAATCAATTTTTGGAAATAATAGTGATGTTTAAGAGGTTTCAGAAAAAGAATCATGCTTCTTTTGTAAACTAGGTAAGTGGAATTATGTAAAAACAGCCCATAATGGGCCTTTAAATAAATGTACTGTGCAAAAAAGATTTATTTAGAACTTAACTTTTTTGCCATGGACTAAACTTGTACAATAGTTGCTTGCTTTTTTCTCTTCACTGTCAGATACCAGGAAACATTTATGGTGTTTCTCATTTGTTGCTCGCTTTTCTCGCTCTGTGAAATGCCCCGAATATATGTAAACTAAGAATATGTATTTAAAAAGCCTCCAAGAATCAGCAGAAACACTCAAGACTCGTGTGAAGGATCTCTGAGTTCTTCTCTTTTTTTATTATTTCAGGCTTAAGCTTACACCAGGGAAATCTAGGCAAATATTGTGTGACTGTTGGTACCTGACATTGTAGTTAAGGGTATAGTCCTGTGACAGTCTGATGTGAATAGCTTCACAAGGACCTAGTTTATATTTAGACTATAAAATCTTAGTTTACTTTCTCCTCTTTTGTTTCACAAACTAGGAGCTGGGTATACAGTAGGAGAGTAACGATTGTTGTGTTCCAGTTGAACCTTCTGATTATTTTCCCTGTTTATGCTGACATAGTTTTAAGGGGAAGACCTACTCTGCTGAATTTTGTAATGAGATGTCATGACTTGAGAAATCGCAAAGGAAATGAGAACATGTGGTGGTTCACTTGCCGCACAGCTGGCGCTTTGGTTTTTTAAAACTGTTAGTGTTGTTAATTCATTGTACCTACTACTTTTCTGTCTGCAAAGCCAAGGAAATTCTAGTATTTTAACAATGGAGAAGCCTAGGAACTGGGATATGAAATAGAGACTGGAAGATGCTATGGGAAAGGTTTACTCTGCAATATACATTTAGGAGCAGAATACAGCAATAAAATTACTCTATATTAATAGCCTTGTTAACATCGATGAACTATAAACCCAAACAGAAGCTTGATTGTGAGGAAAAGGGTCACATCTCTCTCAGAAAAGCCATCTATTTTTAGTGTCTATTGAAATTGATTTTATTTTTTTTTCCCCTCTATGTGCATGTGCATTACCCAGGAGACTCACAAGACACAATCGTTCCCTTGAGTAATATGCTATATTGCTTTTGTGAATAGTTCTACTCCTATTCAGTAAAATATCTAAAAACATATTTAAGACTTGCAGAAACCGCTGGAATTAAACAAATTCTTAAGTGCTTTGCTGAATAGAAGCCAAGGCCCCGAACTCCAAACACTGACTTTAAAACAGGAACAAAGTTGTTGTAACAAATCTTTTTCTATCTCGGTGAAACTCTTCTGTAGTCCTACCCTTTCCTTTTTTATGGGAAATTCTCAGTCACATCCGATAGACTCGTGCAACTGGTAATAAGAAACGTATTGTAAATATTTGCATTTAAGCTAACTTCTGCTTGCAGCTCAAAATCAATAGAAGAGTTTGTGTCAGGAGGCTGTGTTTGGCGCAATTTATTGACATTTCGTAAGTCTAATAGAATTCGTGTTTGGGTTAGTTGTTACATACAGATGAATCAAATGTGCTATGGAGACAGATATCATTGTTTTAAAACAGATTCACTTCTAGAGAGGTACCTGCCTCTGGACTGCTGAGCTGTCCAATATGTTTTTCCTGGTTTTTATTTAGATGTGGAATATGTATCAAAAGAGAACCTTCCTTAGAATAAAGAGCCTACTGCTTTTCTCACTTTTTTAATGACACATACATCATAAAGAACAGTCCCTCTTGGAAATCCTCAGAAATCAGCCACGCTGCCCAGGGGAGCTGTACTTCAGCATCTGCCTGATCCACAGAGAGATCTGTGAGGTCTTTCCCCCAAGTACCTCACCCTTGCAGTATGTTTTGTGTTACTCCTGTATTTTAACTGCAGAAGGCTTCCTTTAACTGGGTTCTTTCTTACGGCCATTCAAGCTGGTGAATATTCTGTCATTTGTTGCTGTCAGATCTGATTTTTTTTTAAATTTAGGAAAGAAAATTAAAGCCCTGTGGAAGTCTGGTGTGTGTATGGTAGTTTAATTGCATGTAAAATGATCAGTGCAGTCTTCAACAGTACATTTTGGTTAATTTCTCTTTTTTCAGGCATTGTTTGCCTATTAGTAAATTTCAAATTTACATGTACAACTGTTTCTTTTGGAGTTTTTTTCTTTTTGTACTATGGCTTTGCTTACCAAGTTGAGTTTTTTTTTATATTAGACAATCATTTTAACTCTTCCTCAAGCCAAAACTCAGTTAAAGTTTTCTTGAACAATGCATTTTCACAGTTTCCATCCTCCAAGTTGGATTTATCTTTCACAGAAGTCAAGAGCTGATTGACTCTTACAGACCAGGCACTATCCCTGATAATTATGAGTTTTAAAAACATTTCTGGTTTTAAGTGCAGCCTTTAAGATAACAACCATTTAGATGGGAAGCCACCACGCTTACTTTCACTTTTATCTACAACCATTTCATTTCAGCCCTAGAGAGAAGAGGCAACTCGTGTCTCGAGTCAAACTGCATTTTAAGCCCTTGCCCATTGTGATTCTGCCATTTAAATAACAATTCTGTCTGCGTTTGGGTCTTTCAGCTCTCCTGGTGATATTGCTTGTAAACTGGATCTCTGGCCTGCAGCATCTCTACCTCCCTGTTGTATTACCCTGGTAGACCCACTATGGTTTGGTACCTGTCTGCCTTTCCCTCTGGGAGCCTGCTTGAGAAAGAGCTTCTTCATCTCTTCTTCTTTTTTTTTTTTTTTTTTAAGACTTTTTTTATACCACAAATTATGTGATGTGGATAGATTTTTGGTTTCTGGTGGTTTGGGTTTTTTTGTGGTTGGTTTTCGGAAAAGAGTTTTTTTCTTTTTTTTTTTTTTTTTTTTTTTTTTTAAGACTTTTTTTATACCACAAATTATGTGATGTGGATAGATTTTTGGTTTCTGGTGGTTTGGGTTTTTTTGTGGTTGGTTTTCTTGGGTTTTTTAAAAGCCTTTATGCTTCTTTTCATGCCAGCTTTTGTAAACTGTCTTCCAACCTACTTAGTCCTATTTTTGCCCGGGAGGTATAGGCAGCCTTCTGCAGCGTGCTGTCTCTGATCTCTCCAACAGGTTGTTTGCCATTAGCATATTGCAAGCTCTGTGTTCTGCCTTCTTTGGAAAGAACAGACCTTGCAAGATGAACCAAAGTGAGTCCGGAGCTTCTTCCCAACCAGAAACTCCTGCGCTGGTTCCTCGGAGGCCCTTGGCATCAATAGTACTTACATCATGCAGTCAGTCTCGCTTAATTTTAAGAGTATGCAATGCCTAGCACCAATTCAGGTGACATAACTCATTTTTAAAAAGAAGCTTGCTAAGTCAGAGTGTTATGGCACAGGCCTCCGTTCAAGAAAAGCGGGAAAGCAAAGCTTGCCTTAAGTCATTTACACGGTGCAGCATTTCAGCAGGTCCTTCTGTCCTGCTAACTTCAGGTGCATGCTTAAGATACATTAAGTTTTTGTCCTGGCTAGTTTTGAGTAAAAATGGGGGAAGGTGGGGTGGTGTTTAGGCTTCTATTTTACTTTGAGGAAGTACAAGTGGAAAAATAGAAGCAGAAGGCTTTAATCCTGAAGTTTAACCCCTTCTTTCCCCTTGTCCACCCTATCCTATGCTTCTGGTTAGCTTGTCACTCACAAGTGTTTTGAGGGCAGAAGCTTGCAAGAATGGCATGTAACATTGCTGATACTGGCTTTTTCACACTCAGGACCTCTAAGGAGATGCTGAGACAACTCAGTAGCCTATGAGGTTTTTTTAAAAGGATACATATTGTCTTTTGCTGCCAAAGAGAAAAAATCCTTCATCCAAGATTGTACTTGATGGCTTTTGGATGTGTTTTATTTTTTTCAAAGGGATCTTTTACGTAGCTGTAGTGATACTAAGTGTATGTTTTCAACTCTGAGATGGGATTACTGGAGTAATGATATGTGTTAATGTAACATTACATGCTAGTTTAAATAGCAAATGCTGAGATAAGCTTTTAGACTAGTAGTAACATACACCTGCCATATGTAAATAGAGCTGGAAGCTGGAGACCATATAGATCTCTACAGTCTAAAGGCAGAACTCCAAGCACGTGTGAACCTGCTTGACTTCAGTGGACCCCCTTTGGGCTGCTCCTCTTTCAAAGTCTTTTGTTTCCAATGCAAATAAAGGGGCTGAACTTCATCCTACATATGTTTATGGTTATATATATTTAATTGAAAGCTTTTCAAACATTATTGTTAAAATACAGCTGTCCAAGATCTATTAGCCGTTGTCTGGTTTTGGCATGTATCATTCAAAAGGAAAGTTTTGAAGCTTTTCATTAGTTTTGCAGATGTTTACAGTAAGCCTTTCTAGGTTTATGCAGACACTTGCTTGAAAACTGAGTAAGGGATGAAGGCTGATAGAGTCCAGTCAGCAGCAGGACATCTCTTAAGAGTATATGTAATAATGATACTTAGAAACAAGGCCTTGAAGGTGAGGTTGCAATAGGGAGGAGAACTAAATAAAGGAGTTGCATGATCTACAGGTTAGGAGGAGGATCTTTGCAGCAGCATTGCTAGAATTAATGGATGAAAATAAGTGAAGCAACGAAAATGTTGCACAGTGAGAAAGATCCTCAGGGAACCGTGATGAAATAGCTCCTACAAATGAAGACAAAAAGGGGCTCACAGCTACAAAGCCAAAGGAGGTCAGGAATTCAAGAAATTTTGTGAAAGGTACATGAAGGAAGATGGAAGGGTGTTTCTGAGCACTGACCAGGGAGACATCACTAGAGAGTTTGTTGAAAGTGGTTCTGTTGGAGCACTGGGATGGAATGCAGGTTGCTTGTCATTCCTTTGTCCAGTTTCATCCTGCGTATCTTCCAGTTGTTGGAACAGGGTAGTTAAAGACTTTGGAAGGGAAAGGGAAGTGGGATGGTAATCAGTGGAGTCAAAGTTCCTATTTTAAATGAGAATGTCCAAGAATGCTTTTAATAAAGGAGACTGGATCCTTTTAAGGAAGGAGGTGT